GGAGGTAGTGTTTCAGGAAAAGCGACCAACCGCAGTAAGATTAGGGCAATGAGATAGGGACCAAGTTTAACATCTCAAAGGAATCAAGTTGAAGTCCCTCCCCATGGGATGCCTGCTCTTTTTTTTTTTTTTTTTTTTTTTTTTTTTTTTTTTATGATCAGGAGTGCTGGGATTATGGCTTTCCCACACAACCAGGAAATCTGCAACCTTCCCCATATTTCTCTATGCCTAGAGCAACTCACACCAGCCTCAGTACTGCGGGACCTAAGTCACATAGACTGATCCCTAACATTTTCCTTTCACAGTTGGTCCCTAACACACAAGACCTTCAGAGAAGGTTTTTGGCTTAGTAGCAGCGAGGAACTCAGTGCAGCCATTGAATCTCTGTGAGAGTGGCCGACAAACAAGGGTAGACTTTCCCCGAATATTTTTCATTTAACTAAACAATTGCTGAACACCTCCAAAATTCCACAAACCATTGTAAATGATGAACTCAATCTAGAGGGAAATCAGTATGATCAGATAATAGCAGACCTACAATGCATGTTTTTACAGGTGAATTTCTGTGACTCTATAGAAGCTGAGAGGAAGACATTCTTGACTCCATAAAAAGGACTTTTTCCAAAAAATTGGGAAGTAAGACTTTTACCTTTGGTGTGAGCATGTCATATTTAAAGGCAATTGTCTTCTCTTCTACCCCACCTCTTCTCTTTCCCTTCCTCCAACCCTCCTGTCCTCCTTCTCGCTCTTCCTTCAAACACCACTTATTGAGTATTTCTATCAACAATATGCAAAGCATTTGAGACTGGTCCTTGTTCTCAAAAAAGCCTAAATAAGCAATATAGAAGAGCATGTTAAAGAAACTACAAGTATTTTGCTTTGGTTGAGTTATGATATTGGTGATATAGCTAGGATTACCAAAGTTCAGTTAATCCTGGTTAAGTTAGAATTTTAGATAAAGAATAATTTTTTAGCATAATATATCCAAATATTGCATAGGACATAGATATACAAAACATTATCACCTAGGTGTCCCCCCCCCATTTTTTGCCAAGTTGGGCAACCCTACCTATAAGTGAATCTAAGGAAATCCGGTTAGAAATTTAGGCATGCATAATGAAATTTAATAAGGCATTCTAAGGTGATTGAATGTCTTACTTCCAATTATAGGGAGCCATTGAAGTGTGTTAGTCAAGGGAATAGCACATTTATAAAGATCGTTCCATCCACAGTGAAGATTGAGAGACTCAGAGGCTCAGCCCTAATTTCTCTCACTTGTGCCTGGCACCATCATTATTTTCAAGAATTTGGTGGTCTCTTGGCCACTCCTCAGATATTTCTAAGTAGCATTGTGAGACTCCAAATATTCAAGTCTGAGTATTCTGAACTAATGTGAACACTGAGGGATTCTTTTTCATCTGTGTATCAGATAGTTAGGCCAGTAGCTTCAAACTTGTGCTGTCTCAATCCATTTTATGTTGCTATAACAAAATGCCATTACTTGAGTAATTTATAATAAAAAGGAATTAATTTTTACAGTTCTGGAGGTCAGGAAGTTAAGATTAAAAGTCTCCACCTGATGAGGATCTTCTTGCTATGTCATCTGATTGCAGAAAGATGGCCTGGCAAGAGAGAGCATGCCAGGGAGGCGGGGGGCGGCAGAACCGGCCTTTGTAACAGTCAGTTTTCTGGTCATGAGTCCACTCTTGGAATAATGACATTAATCCATTCATGAGTTTTGGAGGCAGCAAACATTGAAACCATCACATGTTTGTGTATGTTATCAGTTTTAAAGGTGAAATCATCCAACATGGAACTCTGCATGTGTGGTACAGGGACAGGAAACCTGCATGTTTCTGCTACACCTCCATCCTTTTTTTTTCTCACTAAGCTGCTAAGTTGCTGGGCTTGAACTTGTACTTCTCCTGCCTCAGCCTCCCAGAATGCTGGAATTATAGGCATGCCCTAGTGTACCTAATTAGGCATTGAACTTCTATTGTATGCAGCAAATAAAGTAGGAAAGTAAAACTTGCTGTAAACAAATCTTTTTTGATTTGCTTTAATGAATAAGATAAGAAGCAATTGGAATTTAAAATATCAAGAGGATGTAGAAAAAAATACATTAAATATACTGATGTATTCTTCTCATATCTTGTTTTCTAATAAGTTATTTGTTTATCAAGTAATAATTTACATATTAAACCAAAGTCTCAGAAAATTAGAAAAAGAGTATATGTATGTATCAGTCTTTATACACATACATGAACACATACATAGATAACATACATCAAGCACTAGGTCTTTTAGATTGATGGCTACAACTAGATAAAGAAAAGGAACAACTGTAAATGGTCAGTTGGATGACTTAAAAACATTACCATGTGATGAGTAGAGGCCGTTGGTATGTTCTTTAGGACTGCTCGTATCAGAGCAGTAATACTTGGAAAGAACGGACTCGTGACTTTGTAGCAGGAGGGGGCAGAGTAGAAAGGGCAGAATTTATGTAACACTTCACAGTAAAATGATGCATTAGCAAAGGGATTAGCATGCAGTAGGCATGATACCAATAGTATCATTCTACATCTGAGAAGGAGGAGCAATAAAACTCATTTATTAGCAGGGGAAATGGATGGTCTGGCGGAGAGCAGTGGAAAGGTCTTATTTTATGTGCTACTGAGGAATGGAGATGGGAAAGCAGAAAAACAAACCTTTGTGGAGCACACACTGAACCCTCAGAGATGTTAAGAACATGCATTTGCTCACAGATCAGCTCAATGAAATCTCTCCACCAGCTTCACTCTTCCAGGACATATTTTGTGATTTTACTTTACACACGAAGAAGCCAATGCCGAGCAGGACTAAAGATCTTCGTCCTTTGTCACAGATTGAGTGACAAACCTGAGATTGGAATTTGGATCTATGTTTATGCTGTTTCTAATCCACCAAATGGCTGTCCGTAGTTTCTGTTGGATGCTATCTCACCATAGGGAAATTAAAACCATTGCTTTTTCTCTTGACGCAGAATTTTCTACCCTGGCTCTCTAGGGGCCTACAAAACAACAGTTTTTATCCAGATGCTATTACTCTCTTGTACCTGAGACAATTGGTTAGTGACTTCGTCAAGGTCACGCTGAGCCAAGCCTCGATCTGACCTCACCATCACTCCTGCATCAGACAAGGTCCACACTGAGAAGCCTCTGATGTACTGAGCTTTATATCCGAACAGAAACAACCCTGCATCCTCACACTCAGCATTGCTGAAGTCAAGGCAAAAAGTATGTGAGTCAAGTTCATTTAAGCAGGGAGGATGAACCCCAGGCTTAAAATATGTAAATCATTGTGTTCTTTGTCATCACTATCTGGAGATCATCCTACCTGTTTAGGGTTGTACTTCATGAGTTACAGTTTCTTAAAGTTTAAGTTAGTTTCACCTGCTCTCTTAAAATTTAGAAACAAGTGCTTCAATATGTCTAGGACCATTTCAACATTAGAGCATTTGGATTACACAGAATCTACACTTAGAAGGACCTGGAGTCAGATGCAGTCTGCTTACTTCTGTAATTCAAGTTTTATTGGAGCACAGCAACCTACATCTGCTCCTGTAACATCATCTGCTTTTGTGATACATCTGAAGGCCGAATAGCCACTATGAAGAGAGTGTGGTCCACCAAACTGAAAAAAAGCTTACTCCTGACCCTTTCAGTAAGTATTTGCTGACTTCTGGCCTATGAAAATAGGAGATAACTTCAGTCTTCCATTTCCAATCAGGTTGCATACATGATGCTTAATTCCATCTTCCCAAAGAAGTCATTAATTTTTTATTTGACAGCACTAAAATTTGCTCAGGCATTTTTTTCACCACAAAATACTCATTGGGAAATTGTTTTTTTTTAAAGATTTAAAAATATTTGTATAAAAATATTCATCAAAGCACTGCGATCTAGTTTTCATCTCTATTTTAGAGAGAAAAATATATTTAGGCATAGAGAATTTATTTTTCGAAATGCAAAAGAGAGAAAAATTTGGACTACATGTCTGGTCCTCAGCTGTGTGACGGCCGCAAGGAAGCAGGGAGGACAGAGTTCTTAACCTTTGGGAGATCAGTCAGTATCAACCCAAGTTATACTCAGTAACATGTCAGGTTTTGAACTCAGGTTTACAGGGTTCCAAAGTGCACTTGAACTTTTCAAGTTGAATTTTGGGAGGTGCTTTGCTAACACCCTTCATGTATCATGAGCTAAACAGACAGACACATAATAACCAATAACATGGCTTCAATTTTCCTACATGGCACAGTGACTTAGACATATTTTGGGGGGATTATAATAATACCAGTTAGTTTGAATCTTTTTTTTTTCATTAAGTTTATTGTTACATTTTAGGTATACGATACATTTACATTCATCACTGGGATCTTGTCCTTTTCATGACGTATCTTGGTTCTTATTTTTTCCCATTCCCCTGCCCTCCCTTCACCCCCTCTATCCTTCCCTATTTATAAAGACTTTGTTTCCATTTTTTCCTTTAATTATACTTTTTCTCTTCCCTTCTTTCTTTTTCCCAACCCCTCCCACTTCCCCTACTCTTTTGGACATTTTCTTCATATTTCATATTATCAATTATACATTTCTATCCTTATTTAGACATTTTTATATATTAAAATTAGGCTGGCTGTTTTAAGGAAGAGAATGCAAATTTCAAATGAATATTTAAGATAAAAGACTTCAAATAAATTAAAGCTTGCAGAGCCCCTGGGAGTGCAATATTCTTCATGGAATACTTTTACTTACAGGTAAGAAGAAAAGAGAAGAAGAACCAACTCTTTAAAAACAATGCACAAAGGAAAGCTCCCTAACAGCTAGGATTTAAACAGAAGGAAGCAAGAAAGAAAAAGTTTAAAAGACAGAGGCCTCAGATGTAAACTTGAAAATGACTTTCACTGAGTGTTGTTGGTCAGTCTGCCGCTGAGCAGCCTAATTAAGACATCTGCTAAGACTTACCAATTGATGGGGGTCTCACTGTCACACCATTTTAATTGACACGCTGTGATTCTGTTCCACATGAACATCATAAGTGGTCCTCCTAAAAGAAAGATCACTTAAATTAAAAGTGGGCTGTAAATGGGGATTTGTGATGTTAATAGGCCAGTGTAGCCTCTCTGTCATTTACATACATTTCCATTTTTCCCAGTGCACATTTGCATATATTGGAGGATGTCACTGAAGGTTTTGCAAGGGCAATAATAGCATGGTGATGAGCATCCCACTGGCACAGTGTCCAAAGAGTCATTTCTCTGACCTCCCCTCAGTGCTAATTTTGGAGACCCTTGGAGTGTCCATCATTAAGAACAAAAACCCATGATCTGAAAAACAAGAACTCAGCCTATTTACCCAGGTAAAAGAAATATTTGGAAGACTGAAATTGGTTGAAGTATGGAGTCTACCTAATGTATGGAGGAGACTTGTTTAATACTTTAAAATCTTAGTACATTAAACTAGAAACTCAAGGATTCTGCCCTATTTGGTGGCCCATTGAGATTCATCGCTCTGATAGCCTAATATAGGGAACAGGGCTCGGCAAAGCAGTTTCAGGGGAAGGGGGATGAAGTTAGTCTACCAGACCAGATTTTAGTTGTGCGTCTGCCCCTATCTGCTCTGTGCCCCTATGTATCTCAGTTCTGCGACTATAAGTTCTGTGTATTAATAGAATTTCATATTATGTCTCTGGCAAAGATGGAGATAATGCATGTAAAAGTGCTTGTATGGAAACTTGAATAAATGAAGGCGACTAAAGCAAAGAAACAAAGCAAAGGAGAAGATGATGCAATGTTCAATTTTCCTTGACCCATTATGAGATTTTCTCCAGTTATTGGGATTATATAGAAAAGAAATGGTACTTTCAAAGGGACTTCCAAGAAGTATTTTGAAAAACTAAGTCAATCAGATCAAGTATAATAGTGTAGTTAAACCCCTACTTCTCGTAAACTTTCCTATCACTCGAGCGTCATATTTTATAATGGCAGGTCTGAAGGACTTGAGAAGTCTGAGTTGAAAAACTGCTCTCTGTGTGTCCTAGCAGTCAGCTAGACAGTTCTTTTGTACAATTTCATTTGCTATCATATCTTTTTCTCTCATTTCCTTTCCTATTTTTTGTGCTATTGAGGATTGAACACAGATCCTTTGCACTGATCCACATCACCAGTCCTTTCTATTTTTTAAAATTTTGAGACAGGGTCTCACTAAGTCACTAAGTTGCTCAGGCTGGGGTCAAGCTTGTGATCAGCTTACCAGATTGCTGGAATTACAGGAGTGCACCACCATACTCAGTTCATTTGTTTCTTGAGTACATACTCGCTTGGCTTCCTTTAGAACTCTTGCCCTACCCATCACAATGCAGATTAAAACAGCACTCACTGGTATCTCTCCACCTCCAAAGGAACAGATTTTTATAGTAATCCACTCCCAATTTTTATAGCTTATTATTAAGAATCAACTCAACTAGTTTTAGTTGCAAATTCATCCTTGTTTCTTATTTTAATCCAGACAATTAAATAGGACGGCAGCAAATGCTCTGTTGTGTCTCTTCCTGAATAAGCAGAATCCCCTAAAATCCACATCCCACCGGCTGACTTATGCCACAGGATAGGGAGACATAGTAAGGTATAATAAGTACCTTATATAAGGGATGGGAGTGTGCTAGGAGGATTATAGGGGTCAGGAGGACTGCGAAGGATAGACAGGCACCAGAATATCATGTAGACAAGTAAGAATGATATATATACATATGTGTCTTACCAGTGGTGACAGACATGAGAATTTTAGGGTGCTTAGGCAAGTTGTAAAGATCTTGATACTGTCCTACTTTATTACTGTAGCTGACAATGCCAGTCACATTTGTATGTATATCAGTCAGTTTTCTCATTGCTACAACACAAAACCCAACACACACAGTTCAGAGGAGGAAAGCTTTAATGTGACTCATGGTTTCAGAGGACTTAGTCCATGGTAAACTGACTTCAAGGCAGACACATCATGGTGGAAAGGCATGGTAGAGCAAAGAAGCCAAGTTCATGACAATTGGAAAGGAGAGTAGGGAAACAGCTCCAGCGAGGAAGGGTCCAGGGGCCAGACATAGTATGCAAGGTCATGTATCTATGAGCCACCCAGATAAACCAAGAAGTGTGCTTTACTAATACGGTGGGCCTTTCTTAATCAAGTGGAAATATCGCATTTAATGGTCACTGTGCATGTGTGTGTGTGTGTGTGTGTGTGTGTGTGTGCGCATATTTGTGCGTGTATGTGTTTAGCATCATGATTTGGAATAATTTTTCTTTTCATTCCTTTGGAGAATGCCTCTCTGAACCTGTGTCATCTTGATGAGGTATGATCATTACTCTATCCTTAGGTCCTGCTAGAGAAAGCACACGTGTCCTGATGGGCCAAGTCCCCTACTTCTGGGCAATGTGGTTGGCTAAGTTGTGCATGACCAGCTGTCTTACCTAGACTTAATATGTGGATTTGGGGAGTACAGCAGTTTTTCCATTCTTCTTGTGAAACTGGAAAGCTTCAGGTTTAGAGATGAATGTAGTTTTGTGAAGAGAAACTTTTAAAAGATGAAGGCAAGTCTGGTTGAGATATGGAGAGAAAAACAGATTCCAGGATGTCTCTGAGCCTGAAATCCTAGATGTGTAAACTGAGGAATTTGCTCACACTTCAGCTCATCTGATCTGAGTATCTCACACTTGTAATTTAAAACCAATTAAGACTTGGAAAGGAAGGGAAAGAGAGATGCACAACCAAATGAACGAAGTAGGAAATCAAGTGTTGGCAGAAGATATGAGGCCAGTGGATTGGGAAGAGGTTAGGCTGTATTTCGGCAAGGAAATAGAACTCATCTGGCTTTTAATTAACCTTTATCTAGCTTTTCTCCTGTGGATATTATGCTTGTAATATCCTTACAAAGCCCTAATTATTTTGGGGCAGGTGTCATAATTCTTAACATCAAATTCCCGCTCTCTATGTAGCATGTGACAAAATCTGTCCCATCAAGCCACACAGGATTTTCCACTTTAAAGCCCTGTTAAAATAATGTGAAAAAAATTTGAGAGAAACAAGATTGAGAAGCAATGTGATATCACAGAAAGAATATTGGTTTTTAAATTAGAGACTGAGCTTGGAATAAACATTTTGACACCTCCTTGGGAGGTATTTACTTTGTGACTCTGAGCTTTTGTTTCTTCAGTGTGGAAATTGGGATGAGAATAGTAATAGTCCTTACCTCACATGATGTTCATATGGGTAGCATGATGTACTATACATGATGTAGATGGGTCAGCATTAAGTATAACAAACAGCTTCTCAATATTTTCTTTCTTGCTTCCAGATCTAGCACTCTTAATGGTATCCAAAGAGACAGAATAAATATCTCCACCCCCAAAGCACAGGTGGAATCCTTTTGGGGGCAAAAATTAGTGGAGTCGTTCATTTAAAAACGATGATGATGATGATGATGATGATGCAATAGAAGGTGGTTTTTGGCTCTTTGTGAGGAGGATGTTTTAGGTTGAACCTCTGGATGATTTTTTTTTTGGTGGTGTTAGGAATTGAACCCAGAATTTTTACACTGAGATTTATCCCCTGCCCCTTTTTATTTTTTATTTTGAGGCAGGGAGTGTCTCCTTGATTTGGTAAGGTGCACAGGCTGGACTGCAGCTTGGTCTCCTCCTGCACTAGTGTTCCAGAGTGCCGGGGTTACAGGTGTGCCTCTGTGCACAGATTCTGGGTAATGTTTGAAGTCATTTCTTCTTGAGAAGTTTCTGTCATTTTGTAGGATTTTTCCAGACAAAAGAGAATAGGGAAACAGGTGACTCAAAAGGAAAATTGTAATCCCAAGTGGTACATTTCCTTTTATGCTGGGCTAGTTCCTTGGGGTCAGAAAGATTCAGGGATTTGGGGTAGACTTTTTGTCTAAAAGGGAAAAGACCTCATGTGCATCATTTTTTTTCCCATTTTGGTTTATTGGTACATTTAAAGCAAACAATACAGTTACATTTATCATTGGGATCGTGTACCTTTACAAGACAGGTCTTGGTTCTTGTTTCTTTCTCCATCCCCCTGCCCTCCCTTCAGCCCCTTCAGTCCTCCCTGCAAGGTTATTTTTATTCTATATTGCTACCAGCTAGCACCATCAGTCCACCCCCAAGAAGCTTCTAGACATTTTGCACGAGTTAACCTTTTCAATCCTTTTACAAAACATGCAACACACCCTCCCCCAGATACTATTAACATTTAAAGATTCAGGTTTGGGGTAGACTTTTTGTCTAAAAGGGAAAAGACCTCATGTGCATCATTTTTTTTCCCATTTTGGTTTATTGGTACATTTAAAGCAAACAATACAGTTACATTTATCATTGGGATCGTGTACCTTTACAAGACAGGTCTTGGTTCTTGTTTCTTTCTCCATCCCCCTGCCCTCCCTTCAGCCCCTTCAGTCCTCCCTGCAAGGTTATTTTTATTCTATATTGCTACCAGCTAGCACCATCAGTCCACCCCCAAGAAGCTTCTAGACATTTTGCACGAGTTAACCTTTTCAATCCTTTTACAAAACATGCAACACACCCTCCCCCAGATACTATTAACATTTCAGTATATAGGAGCTAGCAAAATCTTAAGAAATGAAGACATTTTCTCATGACAATAACACTTGTGAAACCTGGGCCTATGAGATCATGAGGTGATATCTGTCTTTCTGTTACCATAGCTAGTGACCTAGGAGTGTGGCTTCTGCAGTATCCTGATCACCGAAGAGGAGGTGGCTCCCAGCCCTGGAACCACAGGCCTGGGACCTTCATTTTCAGGCTCTGTCGGAGCTGGGCTGCTTGTCCGCTTTCCTGGAAGAGGTGTCAATGAGCCATTTGCTTGACCCTTTACAAAGTTAAGCCTGTTATTTGGTTCTTCATGCTGCTTTTTAAAAAATCCCTGACAGACTCTGTAGGAATAAAATAATAAGTGTCGGCGTGCTGGGTGCCTTCTCAAAAAATGAAAAGTTGAAGGCTGAGAAACTTTGCTGTCAGAAAGCAGCGAGTTTGGCTAAGGAATACTAAGTATTAAAGTGGCCAGTATTTCTTCCCATACTCTCTCAACAGAACTTTGCTGAGAGCAGGGCCTGGCGGCGTTCCTACCACCCAGAGCCGATAGGGGGCAGCAGTGCAAACGGAAGATGAGCCCGGGGAAGGGTGACAAGCTCTTACCTCGCTGTCACCATCCCTTTGGCTGAGCTCAGCTTGTGTCTTGAGTGTCAAGAGCCAGCCTCCGGAGGAGCACAGTGAGCTGGACACACAGAAAGCGTCGGGGGTTTCTGAGGCAGGAGGGCTGAGACATGATCCTGTATCTAACCTGGCGAGGAAGTGAGGGGAAAATGCCACCCAAGGCAGGGACCTAGGGCTGTGATCCTCTGCCTGGCATGAGTTGCCAGTCTGAGGGGGCTTTTGGAAATTGGGAGAGATTTCTGGTGATTATGAAAGGGGGAAGAGGAGTGAATAAGTGTTAAGGTTTGGATATCATTTGTGCCCCAAAGTTTCATGCGCTGGAAATTTGGTTCCCAAAATAATAGTATTGAGATAGCGGGAGCTGTAAGAGCAGCAGCCAGAGAGAGATAATTAGGCAATGAGAACTCCACCTTTGGAAGGAATTAAGCCCATCTTGCAACAGTGGGTTAGATCTCGAGGAAAGTGAGTTGAGCTCTCTCTGCTTGGTCTCTTGCTTCCTCTCTTGCGGTGTGATTTCTTTCTCACTCTCTCTTGATTTCTTTCTCACTCTCTCTTTCTTATGGCCACCCCTGCACACATTCCTGCCATGTGATCCATCTACTCTCTTAGGATGTAGCATGAGGGCTTTGCCAGATGCAGTTGCCTCATTATGAACTTCTTGCCTCCGGAACTGTAGCTGAATAAACCTCTTTGCTTTATACATTACTTGGCATCAGGTATTCTGTGTTAGCAACACAAAACAGACAAAGCAGTGTGCTCCTGACATTCACTTGGCAGTTGGAAGGCAGAGATGCTAACATCAGCGGTGCTCATTCCAGGGGTACCAGGTAGTTACACTGGAGGTTCAGACTGGGTTTGGACTTACTTAGGAGAAGAGTAGGAGACATGGCCAGTGACTGGATGCTCTGTCTAAAACAGCCATGCACACTGGGATGATTACTGTGGATTGGCTCTCTTCCACTTCTCCATTCTCAGTATCACATTATGCCTGCTTCTCTGTGTCACTGAGAGACTTTGTCTGACTTCGCTTATAAAACTAAAACAGCCTCAGAAGGATAGGAGGAGCACAAAGTCATCTGATAGCACAACATTTCCTTAGGCTGAGCTCCCATCCTAAGGACTTGTGTTCAGGTCCAGCTGTATCACTAAGTGTGACTTGACACAAGTTGATTACTTTCTTTTTTAAAAAACTGTATCCTGAGGCATTTAATGATACTTATATCATGAGATTATTTGTAGGATTCAATAAGACATATGTAGACTATAGAAAGCCAGTAAATATTTAAAAAAATAATAGCTATCATTTTTATGGTTGTAATTATTATGTAGGAAAGATAAGAAGTATTTGGGGTCCAATGACTCCCCAACAAGAGACCCCAAGAAGGCTCAAGGGTGACCTGACATACTGGGCTGGTGAAGGAGGCAAGCCCTCTAGAGATTGATGACATTAAATAAGAAGAAAGAATGGTCACCAAAGAGTGATCTGGAACAAAGTGGAATTTATTTATTTGCCTGGAAAAGCACTTAGGTGGGGTTGGAGCAGATCTCTCAGAGCAGAGGGAACAATTAGATAGAGGCAAAAAACTGGCAGAAGTATACTGAATAAGGTCCTTTTCTGAGTTCTGATCTCCAGTGGCCTCAGAGTTGTGAACTCTGTTCCTGTGGGTTCCTGTCACATTTCCCAGCATGCCTTGTGCCAGGAAGCCTGCTGTCAAGCAAGTCTGGAGCACACTGAATTTCCAGCCTCAAACTTCGTGGACAACTTCATGTGCAAATATTGAAAGCTTCAGCTGGCTCCTTGGCCACGTCAGTCATAGACCTGCATTGCTTTTGTGCTACTACTCCTGGTCCTTTAGTTCCCCGGAAAGCGGAGAAACCTGAGTGGAGCGGTGTGTGAGAGACATTCTCCTTGGCATCCACCTCTGCGGAATAGTGAAAAATGAAGCAGGAATGAGCAGAAGGAGAAGTTGCGTTGCGGTGCAGGCCAGTGACAACTTTGGCCAGATGCGAGAGACATTGGTGATGCTGGGGTGGCATTTTAAGGAAGTGCCTTGCAAGGGTGAGATGCAAAGGTCTTATACTTCTTTGTTGATTGCTAGATAGGAGCAACATGGTAGGGGGCCTGATTTGGGGTGTGATGACTCTAAGCACAGGAGGCGACTCCTTCCCCAAGGCACTGACAGCTCAAAGCTGTCCACTGCAGCAACATGGGCTTCCTGTGAGGACGACTGCGAGGCATGTGCCAGTGTGTACTCACACTTGCTGTCCACTCTAACCTTGGCTTTGCTTTGGAATCAAAGGCGAAACTGGCGCAGGAGCTTAGGAGGCTTGCGAGGCCTGCAAACCTGTTAACTGCTCTCATGTGCACTCAGTCCACACTACCACTGTCTGGCCTCCCTCAGTCTCTTTCTCAGAAGGGGATGGAGTATTAAAAGTAGGGATGGACTCTCTGGAGAAGACAGCTGGAAATGAGACTCCAGGAAGCTCTGTAGACCACTCTAAGGGTCTCAATGCTCTATGGAAATGGTGCATTTTCAATGGGGGCAATATTGCAAAAGTTGATATTTACAGAAGCAGTCAATTGCATATCTTGAGATTAAAATTTGATAGGGTTTAATTAGAGGGAAAATATCTAAACTGGCTCCCAAAGGGGGAAAATTAATGAAAAAGAAAGTATGAGAACATAGAAGAAAGAAAAGGAAGCTCCAAGCCTCACATTTTCACATTTGCCTTTGTGTTCCAGGATTTGAGTCTGTCCAAAGGCTTGGAGGATGGAAGCCAGCAACTATGGCCCTTAGCATTAGCATGTTAAATGGTGGTTTTTGTTGTTGTTTGTTTAATAGCACTAAAATGAAACTGAAAAGAGAAAATCCCACCAGGTCGTCTTCTGTGATGGAATGTTTGGTATCCATGGACTGCAGGCCACTTCCCAATGGGTTATCTGCCAGCCATCATCTCATCTACTGCCCCTTCCCTCAGGGCACCCTCCTGTCTTCTGGGTGTGGGAGCCAGACCTGTCTGACTTGGTGCCCTTGGTTTATCTGCTTAGCCTCTGTAGGCATTTGAGCTGCAAGCTCCAATAGGATATTAAAGCTGAGTTGGT